TAGTACTGGACCACAAGCTCCCCACAGGCTGGGGAGGCTGTCATCACACACCCTGGAGTGCCAGCACAGAGGCCATGCAGACTGCATATTCCAAAAGTGTTGGCATGTGCCATCAAGAGGAAGCACTTGAACTAATCTAAGACATGGAGATAATCATTTCCAGGCTTCTTGCCTCCCTTCTTAACCACAATCCTTAGGCCCTCCTGGTTTACTGTGGTCTTCTGTAGCTCATAGCTTCACATTATACTTGAGTTATCATATGACTGTCTTTTAGACTTTATTGCTTTTTATCTCCAGTGTATTGGTGCTAAACTTGGAATCTGGAGAGGTTCTATGTGACAAGATTGCTTTTTTATTTTCTAATAAAATGCTAGCACCAAATACTAATTATATTTTCTACTCTTCCCTTATATTTTCCCACAGAAATCATCATTAAATACACAGGGAAAATGTAGCTTTTACTAAAATAACTAAGAACACAAAAAGAAATTATTTCCAAGACTCTTATTCACACTTACCTGCCCCCAGGCATACATGTTATTATGAGTCTGTGAAGGGTTCACCTTTGAAAGGAGGAAACGTGCCTAAAAAGCAAAAATAAATAAATAAATAACAGTACCAATCAGAAACAGACTTAGTAAGATAAGCTACATACAACATACCATCCAACACCAACTTAACTGAATATACTGGTAAAATTAACTTTGTTAAAATTTAACATACATTTTAAAGTACACAGGCCACAATATAAATAAATAATGTACTCTTTCAACATTATGTATTTGTAACAAACATAAAATAATAAACTACTGAGTTTATAAAACTCAGCATATAAAAATCATATATATAGAAGTAGAGAGATGGTTCAGCATTTAGAGCACTGGTTGCTCTTCCAGGGGACTGGGGTTGGATTCCCAGCACTGATGTGACTCAAAACCACCTGTAACTACAATCCTAGGGATCCTATCCCCTCTCCTAACTCTCTTGTCATTGCATGAATGTGGTGCACAAACATAAATATAGGCAAAATACCCAAACAAATCAAATAAGTTTAAAAAAATGTTTCAGCCTCCTTGTGCTTACCAAGTGTTCTTACACTGACAGTATAGAAAGAGGAGGCAGAATGAACCTACCCCATGTACACCTCAGCCTAGGCCATTGTGCCTGGTCTGTATTGTGAATGGGGAGACATGGGGGAAAAAAATGTTTCAATTGTAAACATAAACATTATTTTATAATAAGTCTTAAAATACAGGATGGGGGGAGGGTTGTGGGGTTTTGTTTTGTTTTTGTTTTTCCCCCAGACAGGGTTTCTCTTTATACTTTTGGTGCCTGTCCCGGATCTTGCTCTGTAACCCAGGCTGCCCTCGAACTCACAGAGATGTGCTTGGCTCTATCTCCCAGGTGCTGAGATTAAAGGCATGCACCACCATGCCTTTAAAAAAAATACAGTTTTTACCAACTAGTCTGAATCAACAGAAGTCTGAGACCTCATAAAATGATGCAAACAAAAAAATATGAAAATCTATATTCTTTTACTTTAATGAACCTCAAACTTTTTAAGCTACAGGTGGTAACTTTGGCAAGATTTTTTTCATCCTCTACTACAGCTAATGATCATGAAATCAAGCAATAAGTAAATAAATAAAACAACGATACACATTAAGATATTGATAACTGATCCTCTTCAAAGTGTTCCACACAATAGAAACAGAAGGAAAACTACCAAACTCTTTTTATGAGGCTACAATTACCCTGATACCCAAACCACACAAAGATGCAACAAAGAAAGAGAACTACAGACCAATCTCCCTCATGAACATT